TATATATATATATATATATATATATATATATATAGTTTCATTCAAAATTTTAAATTCTATGTTTACCACATTTTTATCATCAACAAAATGTGACAATGTTTATTTTGTATCGTTAATGCATTGCTAAAAATATCATTTGAAAATAATGATACTCCCTCCGTTTCAAAATAATTGTTGTTTTAGTTTATTTTATATTTTTTAAGAAAAGAGAAAAAAAGTCATATATACCTTTATTTAATGATAAAAGAATGAAAGATGGTGATGAATGGAAAACAGCATTCAAAACGAAACATGGCTTGTATGAATGGTTAGTTATGTCATTTGGCTTGACTAATGCACCTAGAAATCTTTATTGGTTCTACCTCCTATTTTTTATGAAGAAAATGAATCTTTTTATCGAAGGATCAGAAAGAGGCTTAGCTCTGGGCTTGCAGCAATATTATCATTAATAATTTATTGAAATTTGATAGGGATAAAATTGGAAACTATTTTTAAAAAATATCTTGAAAACGTAGAATGACAAATATTTTGAAATATGAAAAATAACTTAAAACTACAAATATTTTGAAACGGAGGGAGTATAATTTACGGACATATCGATAAGGATAACCAAAAATTTGGAACTATTACAAAACAACAACAAAAGTTAGGTATCGGAGAAAAAACATGTAATCAATGCATAAAAGAAAAAAATATAAAAAATAATATTTTGTAAGAAAACGACAAGCTGAGAACAAATGAAAATTAGTTAGTTATTTATAAGAAATTTTAAAATAAAAAATGTGCAAAAAACAAAATAATGAACATATAAAATGGTTGTCGCGGCAAAAAAAAGTGAAAAAATTAATGTAAGGAAATTTAAAATGTAAAATCTTGTATTTGAAAAAAGATAAATGAGATATTATTATAAGAAAATATAAGAACAAAAATTGAGAGGATATTAGAATTTGGAATTCTCAATATTGCATGTTTACAAGTATTATATAGTAGTATATATATACATATATATATATATATATATATATATATATTTCAATCATACATGACATATTCAAAATACGTGAAGTCCAACACTTGAAAATATAAACCAAATAAAAAAAAAAGAAAACGTTAGAGGAGAGGAAGAAATGTAGGAATAGTAGATTCTAAAAGATCCATTTGGTGACGAATCCAATGCATTAGAATAACATTAGCTGGATCTGTGTGTATATAATATAGTTTATATTCATCCATTTACAAACAATTTTATAATTAATGTCCAACAAAAACAAAATACAACCCATTTACTATATGAAATTAGTTAAATCATCGTAAAAAAATATAGAATACATACATACATACATACATACATACATACATACATACATACATACATACATACATACATACATACATACATACATACATACATACATACATACATACATACATACATACATACATACATACATACATACATACATACATACATACATACATACATACATACATACATACATACATACATACATACATACATACATACATACATACATACATACATACATACATACATACATACATACATACATACATACATACATACATACATACATACATACATACATACATACATACATACATACATACATACATGTGGCAATTGAATCTAAGGAAGTCCTACAAACACAAACACACATCCGTATCAATTATTAAAACAAAAATCTTGATGATATCAATGCATGCACATGTGAACCAAAATATACCCCCCCCCCAAATCTCCCACACTATATATACACACACACATAAGTAGATTAATATCATTGCCTACACCAAGTAAGAGCACATCATCTCCATCGTATTCACATCCAAAAAATCAACCACATAATAATAATAATTTAAAATATATACAGAGAGAGAGAGAGAAGGAAGTCATGATGATGATGGTGATGTGGTGGTTGACGGTGGTGGCCGGAGTGGCTTCCGCCGCCGTCAAAGAGTATAATTGGGAGGTTGGTTACAAATTTTGGCGGCCGGATTGCAAAGAAGGCACCGTCATGGCCATCAACGGCGAGTTTCCGGGGCCCACCATCCGTACAAACGCCGGCGATATCGTCGTCGTCCATCTTACTAATAAACTCACCACCGAAGGTGTTGTCATTCACTGGCATGGCATTCGACAGGTAGATTATTATTATTATTATTATTAATTTACAATCTCAAATAATAATATTTACATATTTCATATATGTTTTTTTTTGTTGTTATTCTATTCATATATCTAACAATATGATATGAAAGATGTAGACTATATATATGTTCCCTTTTTCGTTATTATATATCCTAATATTTTTTTTGTTATTATATTTATATATCTTATTTGTTACTTATCTCGGTAAAATATATGTTTTTTTTTTGTTTGAAAAAATATATATGTTGTGGACTACATGTTCACTTTTTCTTAAATAATATTAGTTGATTTACACATCAATTTCTAAAAATATGATATGATATGAAATAGAGATCTTTAATAAGTGGAATAACATTACAATGAATTTTATTATAATGTATTTTAGTAGTCACTAGAAACTATTTAAGTAACTATTAAAAAGAGTTTATAGATCTGGAAATGTTAAAACTAAATTTAAGTGATTCATCGTTCTTAAAATGTTAGCAGATTTTTTTAATTTTTTTTAAATCTTTTTTTTTCCCGAACGTGTATAGATATTTTTTTTAGCGTTTTCAATTAAAATTTAAAGATAAGTTTGATTTTATTGGAGAAAAAAGGGATGGATCCAATCAACAAAATGGCTCAAATCACATGAAAATGGAGGGTTGGGTAAAGCCATGCAATCTCTCTCATGAACGTGGAGCTTTTGTTTTTTTGTTTTTGTTTTTTCCATTGGATGCTTTTCATATAACCAGTAAATGGAAGAAAATATAATTAATCCTATTATTCATTTATATATAAATAGAATATATATATATATACTATTTATTTATTTATTTATACGTTCCCACTTTCGTGTCATCTTCTCAAGAATATTCCTTTGGAAGGACGCTGGTTTCAATTATGGTTTTTGAATCTTCTTTCTGGCAATAATTTCAGAAGAAAAAATAGTACGGTCATTGGGGTGCGCAAAATTATCCGGAATTCCAAATTCGACTCGAATTTATCGTATAAATCGGTATTTCAGTAAATAAAATTTGGATTCGGATAATTAATATATATATATTGTTTGTATAGTTGAGTTCAGATTTATATATTTTTTAATACTCGGATATCAATAAATAACTGAATTTCTTACAAAAGTATCGTTGTTATCCGTTACAAAAATATTTATAGTTATATGTTTAATTACAATTTTCATTAAGATTTATACAATATTTTTTATTTTAGGGTAACAAAGAAATTTATGTTAAAAAATAAGCTTTATATTACTTATTTATTATTATCTAAGTATTCTTAAGGATACCCAAACCTTTTTCTTTTGTAAATGAAGGATACCCAAACTTTGAATTCGAATTCAAGTAATATTCAATATTCAGATTCATATATATATATATATATATATATATATATATATATATATCTATTATTTCATACACTATTATTATTAGTAGTATGAGTTCATTTTTGTGATTACTAGAAATTAAAATGTGTGTTAATTGTGAAAACTGTCTATATTTTTTAATTTCGATATAAATAAACAATAGATATTCAATCCATCTCTAGTTATTAATATGAATTATTATTATATATATATATATATAGTATGGAACACCATGGGCAGATGGGGCAGCAGGTGTGACCCAATGCGCCATTTCCCCCGGCGAAACATTCACTTACAAATTCACCGTCGACAAGGTCCAACCCCATTTATAACATTTTTAATCTTACGTTAAAAAAAAAATCAGAGAAACGATGTCGTTTTGAGGGGATGGGGAAAAATGATACGGTGCAGGCGGGAACATATTTCTACCATGGACACTACGGGATGCAGAGATCGGCCGGGCTGTACGGGTCGATAATTGTCGACGTGGCAGAAGGAGAGAGGGAGCCGCTGCGATACGACGGAGAGTTCAATCTGTTACTGAGCGACTGGTGGCACCAAAGCATTCACTCCCAAGAACTCGGCCTCTCCTCTAACCCTCTCCGTTGGATCGGCGAACCACAGGTCAATTATTATTGTTTCTTTTAATTCCTGTTTATATATATTTCTAAATATTTTTATTTGAAAAATTTACATCAAATTTTTATATCAACTTATAAAAAAAAATTCATTTAAATATAAAGTTTTTTGTCGTCACTTGTCTAAATCTATTCCAAAACACGAAAACTATAAACATATATTGCTCACCATTTACATGATATAATTTCTTTATAAAAAAAACATGATATAATTTTAGTTTCAAATAAATTTACACTACTAATTTTTTTGTATAGACCGATTATTTTTCTCGAATTCCATGAAAATATTATTTATATACACATGGATTACATTTGAGTTACTATTTCATGAATATCGTTATATACCACTGTCTGTTATTATATCAGCCACCTTACATTTTTTTTTTTTTTGAAATTTATAACGTAAAAAAAATATGCAATTACTCCTTTCTCTCCAATAATTTGTGGGTTTTCCTTCTCTTTTTATAAATAAATTATGAAGAGTATACTCATAAATGGAAGAGGACAATTCAATTGTTCATTGGCGGCGCATTCTAGCAAGGAACAAATGAATCGGTGCACGTTTGAAAAGGGTGATCAGTGCGCTCCTCAGATTTTACACGTGGAACCTAATAAAACTTACCGGATCCGAATCGCTAGCACCACCGCACTCGCTTCCCTCAACCTGGCCGTTCAGGTACATTAAATTAAATTAAATATAGATATTTTATTCTTTATATTTATTATTTTATCAATTATATAACCTTATTGAATATAAAGTATATCAAATTCGATTAAATGTTATAATTAATTATTTTAAAAGTACACATAATATCGATAGTTATCGTTTAATATTTTGTAGCTAAATAGTATTATCTTCAAATGTTGGTATTCACAAGAAATTTAAAAAAAAAAATTTGTTTTTTTTTGTTGTGATTTTAATATTTTATGAGCAAGAAGCACACGCAAGCTATTATTGTGGGATCATGTTCGTTAAGATTCCCTTTCTTCATTTAACTTGGGCCGAATGTCCAAATGTTACGGCCCAATAGCGACACATAGAAAAGGCCCAATGGCCCATTCATCATTAATTTATGGGATCTTTAAATCACACGTGTGTTTAATTAATTTTCACACGTGCAGGGACACAAGCTCGTCGTCGTCGAAGCCGACGGCAACTACGTCACGCCCTTCGCCGCTGACGACCTCGACGTTTATTTTGTCTTGACCACGATTGTTTAACTGAACTTGGGAGTTGGGAGCTTAATTGTCTTATACTTGAGACAGGGACGGGGTTATTCACTATCAGCAGATATACAGCATGTTGATGCGAGATGGAAGGTACCTGTTGTGCTTCCACTCCGTGACTGTGTTGCGCAGGAGTTAAACAGACTTTGCCGTCTGGACAGGTTTGTACACTGGTTACCTGTGCCATCTTTCTTTCTCAATTGTTTCACAATTTATGATATTTGTCCAAAAATTAGCTGTTTTCTAGAGTATCGTATCCATTACTAAGAGACATCGGCGAGAGCTACTCCGTCCTCCTCACCACCAACCAAGACCCTTCCCGTAACTACTGGATCTCCGTCGGCGTTCGCGGCCGCAAACCCAACACTCCTCCGGCGTTGACGCTCTTAAATTACAGAAATGTCCCTGCCGCCGATCTCCCATCGTCTCCGCCGCCGGAGACTCCACGGTGGAACGACTACGACAGGAGCAAAAGCTTCTCGAAGAAGATCCTCTCAGCCATGGGAACTCCGCCTCCGCCGAAGAAATCTGATCGCCGATTGATTCTGCTCAATACGCAGAATCAGATCGACGGATTCACGAAGTGGGCAATCAACAACGTGTCGTTATCAGTACCGGTGACGCCATATCTGGGTTCCATCAAGCACGGATTGAAAGGCGCGTTCGATCCGAAATCGCCGCCGAAGAATTTCCCGGCGGATTACGACATTACCAAACCGCCGGCGAATCCGAACACGATGCCCGGCAACGGGATCTACACTTTTCCGATGAACATCACCGTCGACGTGATTCTACAGAACGCGAACGCGTTGAATCCGAATGTGAGCGAGATCCATCCATGGCATTTGCACGGCCACGACTTCTGGATTTTAGGGTTTGGAGAAGGTAAATTCCGTCCAGGAGTGGACGAAATGGCGTTTAATCTGAAGAATCCCCCGTTAAGGAACACGGCGGTTTTGTATCCGTACGGATGGACGGCGTTAAGATACGTAACGGACAATCCAGGGGTATGGTTCTTTCATTGCCACATCGAACCGCATTTGCATATGGGCATGGGAGTGGTTTTCGCAGAAGGAGTTAACCGGCTCGGTAAGGTTCCACCAGAGGCGCTCGGTTGCGGTCTGACCGGGAAAATGTTCATGAACCGGAACCGTTAAGTTACGGCTGTTGTCTTAACGGCGTTTGGTTTCGTTATTAGTTTCCGTTGGTTTGGTTTCCATGTTGTGTGATCAGTGATGGTTTATTACACCGTGTTGTATAACCGAGTCGGTTTAGTTTATTGGTTTAGGATGTGTGATAAGTGATGCCAAGGTTTGTTGTACCGTGTTTAGAGGAAATTTGTTCAATGTATTATTATTTTGATTAAAAAACCTAACAATATTTGGATACTTGATGTTTTTATATAAAAATCTAATTTATTCATTTAGAAATTTTTACAATTTTACCTATTTTTATAAGATTTTTCTTTTAAAGGGTAATAATGCTAAGTTATTAAAAATGATAATTTAATTTCATATTGTCTGCGACATAATAAAGAAAGCTCAAATTCGGTCACACATACAGCTAATATAAAAGATAACAATAAATCAAAGAATAGGGTAAAAGGGCATAATAGAAGAACATGAATTACAAAAAGAAAAAAAAATAAACTAAATTAAAAATAAAAATCTCAAGTAAACATCTCTTACTTTTCCTACAAAACCACTAAAATCTCTCCTTTCCCCCCTTTTTTTTCCAAAAAAAAAGAATAATAATAATAGGGATAAGAGGGGGCTGGCTCTATTCAGTATATGTACAAATGAAAGTGACAACCGAGGAGATCGGGCAAAACTCTTTGCCGGAAAAAGGACCAGACATCCCAGAAAGAACCAATTTACAAAAAAAATCTTCAGGCAAAAAAGATCTAAAGACTTTTTTCTTTGCCCAAAAGACACTGAAAACAAGAGGGGGCAAATCTTGGCTTCCCTTCTCCCACCACAAAAAGGAAGTAAAACAAAAAAGTGACTAGTCTGTTCTGTAGTAACACCTTCCTTTCTTCTTCTTCTTCTTTTTTGGCTTCGGTCTTCTAATGTCTGGTGGTGGATTCCCTGGCTCGGAAATCGTCTAAGCTGCGGAATTCTTCGTTGAGTAGCTTCTCGAGGTCGGGGTGCTTCTGCAATGACGGTTCTTTGTCACCCCGGTAATGGTGGAATGCCCTGGCAAAAGATGAAAGAACTCATGCCGTTACCAACAACCCACCGACCAATATGAAACTAAATCCTGAATGAATCCATTCGTTTCAAAAGACATGGACAAGTAGAGCTGTTGTTACCAATATTTCTCCAAGCCGTATAGGTTTCCTTTATGGTAGAACTCGAGGGTTAGCTGCTCAAAGTCCTTGTAAATGTCCTCCTGGAATTGTTTCTCCAGACCATAACTGAAAAACAGGAAGCAGAAGCGAATATTGGTATGTGTTTGGTTTCCCGCTAGGAAGTCGCCACACGAAAACTGTATGATAATATAAAGAAGAAAGCAAAAGCAAATCAAGGGAAGAGCATATGTATTTTTACCTATAAAATCTAAAGAGACACTCCAATCCATAATTGTAATGAGCCTCTGCGTCCTCGAGGGCAAACTTCCGGAAATCCTCATATATCGTAGGATTGAACAAATCTCTGAGGAAATATGTCCAAAATCTGTATAGGGTATTCATTTCCTGCAATTGGTAACACCCAGAACTCAGAGCATGTAAATGTTGAAATAAAATCTTGGAATAAAAAGAGAGACATGGGGTAAAAGTAAGTCACCTCACTACATCCAATCCCCAGCTTCCTTCTTTCATTTAAGCAACGCTTGCGATACTTCAAGTACCTATATGGGTAGCATTACAAAAAGACCCCGAGACTCAGTTCAATCCTATCCTCGGAATCAGATTCAGGTTCCTCGCAAAACAAATATTCATAAAGAGCCAAAAAGACAAGACTTTTGTTTTAACAAGAGAACCCATAAACTCACTTCTGATGTTTAAATCCGTTTTCTTCCAGCAGTTGGTGGCTTGGGTGCTGAAACGGTGGAAATGATTTTGGCAATGAGCCCACAGGCGGACTGCTTCCAGCGAGAGGACACTGAGGGGATACACTCAATTTTGAAGGCCTGTGCCTGTAAAATATAAAAATATCTCAATCAATACAAACAAGACAATACTGGAAAAAAAAAAACACTAAGCGGAAGCAAATGAATGAACAATGAAATAGAGGAACTGACCCATGGCTGTCAGGTGGTGTAGAACCAAAGAAATATCCAACAGAGCTACTAGGAGGGCTTTCTGAGATATTTCCATGAGTTTGGTGATTGGCTCCTCGGTTCCTGTAGTTGCTCGAGAAGAACCTCTGACACACATGGTGTTTGTGTGCTCCCTTGTTTTGCTTCCTCCGAGAAGAATTAGTGACACCATTGTCTTCACCTCCATCATTTGCTGAAGAACATTCGCTTGCTTTGTTGAATCCTCCTCCAGTAGCTTCAGACTTCACTTTGACATCTCTACTCTCTGGATTGGAGATGTTCCTTTTATAGCTAGATTTCTTCTTTTTCAGCTCCTGTTTCATCATTGACACATTAGGACTGAACTGAAAGGTTAAAGTCATCACAGTCTGGCAATAGAGAAGTCCCTAACCTGCTCAAAGAAGTGGAGACCTTCATTTATTGCAGATGCAAGCTCCTTTGAGATGGCTTTTGATTTCGTCACACCAGTTCTAACTCCATCACCTTTACCGCTATTCTGTTTAGCATTACACAGGAGCATGAATATATAATTCTATGATCACAATGTTCAATGAACAATAAAAGAGTCATCATGGTCATACTTGGGTGACAATTACAAGTTTCTGAACATCCTGATCATCAACAACTATCTCATCATCTTCCTCCTCGATCCTACAGCAGAATACACAAAGAAACCCAAATCATGCTATTAATTGTTTGCGGTTTCTGGTTCTCAATAAGACAGAAAGAAAGAAGACAAATAAGAAACAAGGTTCAATGGCTAAAACAGAGGGAAAAATAGCGGCGGCATATGCTACCTTCCAGATATGGAAAGTCCAATCTTTCCCGGGCTTTTCTGCTCTAGCTCCAGTTCTTCGTCGAGCATAAATGTGTTTGAAAATTCACTTGACAAGTCATCCACCCTTTTCTGTTTGTCGATAGGCGATTCCAGTTTTTCAGTTTCATCACAATTGATTCTTGAGGGCTCAGATCCCTGCAATTCATAGCATAGAAGGAAAATTATAGTTGGATCCATAACTCTGAAACTTGATTAGGGCATTTCTGAGATTTCATTTTTCATATCAAAACATATTTCAAATAAAACAGAAAATCTACCTCTACAGAGCTCTTGAGTGAAATCGCCTTTATGGAATTTTCTAAAAGGTCATTTTTTGAGGGAACTTTCTCCTCTGAGGTTGGCCTTTCAGGAATCCATTTAGACCAATGGTCACGTCTCCGCATCTTGTCACCCTGTAACAGGAACTCAGAATTAGTAAATGGAAAAGCAATGAAATAAAACTATTAAGTCATTAAACAAATAAAGCTTTCCCTTAAGTCACATGGAAGATATAGAAACATATAACTTCTGCATTCCAGTTACATTACAGATAACTTTTACAAACAGCAAGATGAGAAGAAATGGATTTCTATATTTAAATAAACAAATTCAAAACGTTCCCAATGTATAATACTAATAAGTTCCATTCAGAAAAGTGAAGACTTCATCATAGCCTAGAACATATAAAAAGGGCAGTAAAGTAACTGGATAAGTGGATATCATAAAAAGAAACAAGGTCTGCTTATGGTAGCCTGACCTGGACTTCTACGGAGCTTGAGAACCGCAATGCATAGAGAATAAATTGTATGTCCGTAGTCATCGCCTTAATCTGTGGAATTCAGAGAAAACAAATAAGTACATAAGGTAGAATACCAATGCCAAAGTAGCCAGCCGATGCCAATAAAAGCTGGTCCGGGTTGGAAATTATGACAAACTATATACCCTTCTGAATTCGGCAACTTTGCTTGCAAGGACCCAGCCATAGTCATCCATCAGGGCAATCAGGTATCGATCACGCTGAAGATTTTCATCACTGAAAGAAAAATAGAAAGATAAGGGGCATTAGATACTACACTACGGCCAGCAAAGACGAAATATGGAAATTCTCCACAAAAATAGAAAAGGCTGCTGACAATGAAGGGAGAAAGGAAGATAATTTAAAGGACAGAAAAAAAAAATCATATACAGAGGAAAAAAGCAGAACTTGCCTGAAATAATACTCTACTTGCTTGATTATCCTACTGCGTAACTCTAGCTTTTCTGGAGACAATACTGATGGACCATAGTTTATGGGATATGGAGCAAAGTGCGGAAGATAAGGATCTCCAATAGCTCCAGGAGGTGCGATAGGCATATAGCAGTCAGGCCCTATTTCCGAACAAAGAAACAACTATCAACAGCAATCACGGAACAGGCATCCTCTGTCCTAACAGCAATTATATTTAAGAGCAAAACACATTTCGAAAACTATTTGCAACCCTTTTCCTAAAGCACCAAGACAAAAAGGCTTGATGCATTACCGAGAGGAAAGCCTGGACCACCCATATGTCCAGGTCCTGAAGACATAAATGGAGGAGGTCTCATAAAATTCCCCGGTACAGGGTTTGGTGGCATGTTTCTTGGGTCAAAAGCCCTTGGGTGTTGCCACGGCTGTCGGGGCCCTCCTTGAGGCACTGGAAGAACAGGTGCAAGTGGGGAAGGATGCCCTTGTTTCTGGTTTCCAGGTTTTGGAAAAGGAGCTCCGGGAATCGGGTATCGAGGACAAGGACCATAAAAGTAATCTGGGACAGGAGCATGCGGTGGATGAACCATAGCCGGATGAGCAGGTGGCATGCCTGGTGGGATAAAAGGTGGGGGGTGTACTGAATAAGGAGGAATATGAACAGGAGCATTTGGATTGCGCCTAGAGAATGGTTTTGATGGGCGGTTGAATGGGTTCTTGTGAGCATGATTATTGTTACCCCCAGCCTGTGATTTTGTCGGTGCAGCAGCAAGCTATATCATCCGAAAACAACAAGAAAATTCTTTGTCAGCCATAAGAAAATTAACTCCAGAATATGCGATGCTCTTTAATCCAGAATAGGCGGAAAACCAGAGAGCAGTAAAGAAACATAACTATGAAGGAAACTATCAATTGGTAGCATTTAGTTGTCATTCTTCCAAAGATTGTACAGACATCAACGGAATGAACACAGCCAGTAGAACATTTGATCAGAATTTAAGACCAAACAATAGAGAATCTTGAACCAAACCAATCAAGAAACTAATCGATAAACAACTTCAGTCCTAAACACGATAAACTCCATAACCAGCATTCTCAGAAAACCACCAAAGCAGCAGAAACCAAACGTGATGGGCAATAAGGATCAAAACGGGCCTAATTAATGGCTGTCAAACCTGATTAGAAACCGGAACCCTATTGGCACCCGCCATCTCCGGAGCCGGAGAATTCCTCGGCCGAGGCTGTTGCGCGTCGGCGAGTGCGGGCCACGACTCAGCTCCCATAACCGGAGCGTCGACACTTTCCACCGGAGGAGTCGTCGTCTTCCACGGAGACTTGGTGGCAATCTCTTGATCTTCGACCAATGATCTCTCTGTCTCAACCATCTTCAGAAACTCGAGAACCCGGCGCAGTAATTCGAAGAAACCCTAAAGATTGAAGGAACCCCGAACCAATCCGATTGGATGAGGAAGAGACGGGAACAATCTCAGGCTTCCGAAATTAGAACACGACAGCAATGTAGGAGGGAGAGGACTCTGCAACGGGAGACCGGAAGGCGGAAGGGATCGTCGGAGAACGAAAGCGGTAATGCTGTCTGGAGTGGAGTGGCGTTTGCTAATTTGCTAATGGTGTAAAGTAAATAACGAACAGCAAGGCGCCCATTTAAATGGAAGAAAACCCTAATCCCGTATAGAATAAGATTTGAAAGAAAAAAGGAAACAAAATAAAAAGGCAAATTTCAATAATTATCTAAATTTTATAAAATATGTTAGATATTATCGATAATTTAAATATTAAAATATTCTAAATTATTATTTAATTATTTTAATTTTAATCCGTTTTTATATTGAAAAATAATATCTAATTTATAATTATCCAAGATTACGGATTTTCATCAATTTTTTTAGTTAAGGTATTCATTTGAAATATTTAATATTTAAAATATTTTAACAATCAAAATAAAATTTTAATATTTATTTACCATATTTTATAAAGTTTAAATATTTATTTTTATAAGATCAAAATAACCATATATTTATTTTTATTTATCAAATAAATCTTATACTTTCAAAAAATTTAACAAAATAATTTCTATATTTTATAAAATTTAACCAATATATATCCACCAAATAACGTATTCAAAATCGTAACAATTTGACCAACGAAAAATTGGTATCCACCACGTTAGCCGTAATATCTATTAAATTAAAATGATAAAACACATAAAAATAATTAATAATGAAAAATAATAAAAATAAAATTGAAAATGACAATACATATGTATACATATACATAGATACACATATATATAGATACATAAATATATATATATATATATATATACGTGTATGTATATTTATAGGTATATATGTATCGTGATTTTAAAAAAATTTAATTTTATTTCAATTATTTAATAATTTTATTAATTATTGTTATTTTTAATTTAATCTAAATAGTTCGGTCTAAATAGATTCGGATCAGATCAAGTCAGTCCGTTTTAGATCCTATTGGTTGTGATCTATTTTCACGTATATTTAGATCGACCTAAATCGCCTCAAATCATGATTCATGTTATATATGAATACATATATACTAAAAAATAGTCGAATTCTCTAAATTTGGATATTTTAATCGGTGAAATTGGATGTAAAGTTATGTTCCGTCACGAATTCGAATCTCAAGTTTAGAAAGAAAACGTATATTCTAAATTATATGGTTAACTCTTATTCCTAATATTAGACTATATTTAGGTTTATAATACTTGATTACCAAAAAAAAAAATCAAATTCTAATATTCCGTTAGAATATCGTCGTTCGAATTAAAGTTATTATTTATAAATGCATATGTATGTGTATATAGATAAATATCGTCGTTGGAATTTTGACGACCATGTGTTATTTCTATTTTTGTTTCTTTTTTTTTCAAATCCTATTTCACACAGAATTAGGGTTTCGCTGTATTTAACCCAGTGACTTCCCATTCCTTGCTTACCGTTATTCCAAAATACATTACCACATTAACACGAAGAAACTCATAGTTTAGAGTAAGGGTAGTCATTTCGGTTTTTGATTTAGGTTCGGTTCGGTTATATTTGGATTCGATTATTTTGGTTATAGAAAAACTATACTCATTCGATTTTTATATAAACTTTGGTTCGGTTCGGTTCGGTTATTTTTTAGTTCGGTTTCGGTAAAAAATTTATTTTTTTCAAAAAAAATATCGGTTTTTCGGGTTATTTTTTATTCGGTTCGGTTTCTTCGGGTTTAAAAAAATCATATCCGTTCAGTTTTAATGTCGGATTCAGTTATATCTTATTCGTTTCGATTCGATTCGGTTATTCGATTAATAAGCGAAATAACCACCTAGTTTAGAGTAGTTTTTTTATAAAAAAATATATTATATTTTTATAATAAAAATTTAAAAAAAAAATATCATACTAATAATGTTTAAACTCCAAACCATGAGTTTTTCGTCGTTTATGGTAATGTTTTCGGAATGGGAAAACACCGAGTTGAATACAACAAAAAAAACCTAATTCGGTGTGAAACACGATTTTGAAGAAAAAAAAAGAAAAAAAAATAAAAATAAGGTGGAGTAGACAAAATAACCTTATATTTACTGTTTTATTTAACAATAAACCCTGTATTTCAGAATTTTTAACCAAATAATATCTATAGTTTTAAATTTTTAACCAATATACCCCCATCAACTAACGCAATTAAAATCATAACATAAATAAATAATTTATATATTTAATACATTGAACTTTTTCAAGTTTTAAAAAAGGATAATTTATTTTTATATAAAGAATTATTCAAATAATTTGAGATTAAAAAAATTATTTTGAGATAGATAATTATCATAATTTTTTCTATAGAAAAAGATATATAATTTATAAGAATGTATTTGGACAAAAATTCAAAACGAGTCCAGTGTCCAAATAGATAGTTTGAACTTGAAGTAATCGAAAACGGTTGATCTGTTCCAATTTCTCATGAACAAAGATTGTGAATTTGTTTTAGTTTTTGTCGTGAATAATCTAAAAAAGAAAACTTTTGATTTATTCGACTATTCCCATTTTATTATGTGATTGAATTGGTTTGCGATTTATAGAAAGTTTTATCATTTATTGTTATTTTGTTCATAAGAAGTCTCATCACGAAATAAGATGTATTTCAATGTTATCCAACTTGGATAACTCAACCGTTGAAACGGGAACGGAAAGCGTTTATCCTATTCCGAGTTTGAATCTCAAAATATAGAAAAAGATTGAGCTATGTCTTTCGCCAAAATTAATATAGAAGTTAGATTCATGATATCCGATTATTAAAAAAATATATTTCAAAATTACGATTTCATCTTATTCAACATGATATATATATATATATATATATATATATTGTCGCTCCATTTTCCATTGATAAACTTAGTGTTTTCAAGGATATTTGTCACGAGCGGAACAAGAGACCAATGTCGGATACTTCCTCACCGGTGGGATTAAAGTTTCAGGGGTTTGCTGTTCCAAAAGGGGGAAAGGGTTTTACAACAATAGATAACAGTGCAACTTCAGCATTTATAATCGAAAACTGTTGTCGAATTAACGAAACATAGAATCTTGGAAAAAATTTGCAAATTTGTACATTTTTTTAGGAGTTAATAGCTTCATGTATTTTTTTAATCATCTTTTTTAATAAATTGATGTATTTATTTGCAATTTTAATTTATAATATACAACCATCCGAATTTAGACAATTTTATTTATTTATTATTATTATTTTGATTTAATGTTTACAACCTAGAAATAATATGGCATGGGGTATAAATTGTATACATAATAAAAATTAGGAATTATATACGTTTTTAATTTTTTTATACATTATCTTCCGTTTGTGGGTTTTGATAATAATCTGTTGTAAGCCCAAATTTGGTTGAGCCGTATAATTCAAAGAAAGGAAACCCATATATGAAAAACCAAAATTGTGGGTTGACCCATTTAATTCAAAGGAAAAGACCCAAAAAATGAAAGACCGAAATTTGGGTTGACCCAAATAAGTACGAGAAAATAAACCCAAAAAAAAATTATTATTTCCCCCAATCCATATACATAAGGTGTATACATACACACACACATATATATATATATATATATA